GATTTATAAGTTTAAAAGTAAGTTCTAGGTCCTTGTTTATCATTTTAGGTACAAGCACTCTCCGGTCCAAATGAATTCTCAGAATTTTACTCACGTTTGAAGTCGATAAAAGAATTCTATCGACGACATCCTAATGAGATCAGTGTTCCTATGTCCGTTGAATTCGAGGAGTTGGCTAAGATGAGAGAAAACCCAACCGAAGAATTGTCCAATCTCGTCGAGTTTACAGATGAAGAGGGTTATGGAAAATATCTCGATCTTCACGAGTGTTATCAAAAATATATTAATCTTAAAGGGATAGAAAAGATAGATTATATAACTTACTTGTCGACTTTTGATCACTTATTCGATATTCCTAGAGAAAGAAAGAATGCAGAGTATCAGAGATATGTTGAGTCCCTCTTAGGATATCTGACAGATTATCTGAATAGAGTCAGACCTCTGCTCGACATAAGTACAGAGATTGAAGAAGCTAATAAGGATTTTCAAATTCAGTGGGAGAAGAATACTTTTCCTGGTTGGCCTAAAGAAACTGGAAGTGCTCTGGCTCATGTTGGAGCACATTTGGAACTGTCTGCATTTTCATCTTGGGAAGAACTAGCGTCTCTTGGTTTGGATAGATTAAAATCAGCTCTGATGGCGCTAGGACTCAAATGTGGAGGTACTCTGGAGGAACGGGCGCAAAGACTTTTTAGTACAAAAGGTGAAGCCTCCTTAGATCCCAATCTATTAGCCAAGAATAGAAAGGGAAAATCAGCTAAAGGCAAAGATTCCGAGAAGCAAAAGGAAATTGCACGGTTCGAGGCTCATGTATATAAGCTCGCTGAATTAGTATCCAGTCAACGAGTGGCTACGAAAGAAAACGTACAAAGGAAACAAGCGAGAACCGAGGGTGAAAGGGGAGATTCTGATGCAGAAGCAAGTGCAAGTGAATCGGAAGAAGAAGACGACAACGAGGTTCCATACAATCCAAAGAATTTACCATTAGGTTGGGACGGAAAGCCTATACCTTACTGGTTGTACAAGCTGCATGGCTTAAATATCAGTTACAACTGCGAGATTTGTGGAAACTTTACGTATAAAGGTCCGAAAGCATTCCAAAGACATTTTGCGGAATGGAGACATGCACATGGCATGCGTTGTCTTGGCATTCCGAATACAGCGCACTTTGCTAATGTCACTCAGATTGAAGACGCTCTTGCACTGTGGGAAAAACTGAAAGCGCAGAAACAAGCCGAACGTTGGCAACCAGAGCAGGAAGAAGAATTTGAAGATTCGCTTGGCAATGTAGTCAATCGTAAAACATACGAAGATCTCAAAAGACAAGGTCTGCTATAAAGTATACATCTGAAAATATTGTAATTTTGAAGTATCAACTGCATCACTAATTGTTTATTATTCTACTTGTTCATTAAAGCGTTTTCACTAATAAAATACTTTCTTATTCACTTATTTCGTTTATTAAATTGTATTATTGCCTTAAAATTTGGATTTAAACAACCAAAGAATAATATTATTCACATGTGTATGCATGCATTTATATGTATGCATAAAGAAATATTTTATTTTAAATAATTATTTCTGAGATTATTTTGAAGAAAAGAAAGTTGTAAATAAAAGTAAGATTTTTTATAGATCCAAAATAAAAAATTTAGAAAAGGATACCTTTTTGAAAAGCTATGAAAAAAGCATTTATTTAAATGTAGTTTTTTAAATGAGATTATTCCTTTTATAAAGATTAAAATTTACAGAAATTTTAATTTTTCTTTTTCACACGTGCGTGTATGAAGTACATTTCTGGACATGACTGTATCTAATTTACATTAAAGATAATGAACCTATCGTCTTGCCAATCTTACTAGATAAATAAGATTAAAGATATCTAATGCCATATGTAAGCATTTTGGTTACATTCACTAAAAATATATTTTTGTAAGCCCACAATTATAGACAACATATAACTCGTATTAGAACGCAGGATAGAATATTATATTTTAATTTTATTTAGTATACATTTGTGTGTGTGTGTGTGTGTGTATTTGAATATGTATTTTCTTTATATGTGTATTATCATTTTTTAAAAGTTCAATGTATTGTAAGATTATGTGTAAAATTTTAAATTATAAACAAAATTCTATTGCAAATTATAGATTGCTTAATCAATATATTGAAAGCTTGGGAAATATATGTTAATAATTTTGTTCTAAAAATATTTATACAAATTTATACAAATTAATTTACTTTTTTGCTAAATCTGTACTTAGAAAGTATATTTTATTGAAACTGACTATTTAAATTTCTATAATCGATCACCTTTGTAGTTACCTTTGTCTATTCTATTAATAAAAATAAACGTAGCCCAGATGAAAAACGAATCTCCTAAATTGTTTTTATTAATGGATTATAGTTGTTTTCCATTATAATAATAATTGAATTTGTATAACTTTATTCTTAAAAATTGATAAAAAATAATAGATGTAGCTTTTTTATATATTTTAAAATTTAAATTAATATTTAATTTTGATTAACGTGAATGGTTGCCACAGTAATATGATTTTTTACTCTATGCATTTGGTAAAAAATTATATCAAGTTATTAAAGTTGGAATACTTGAATTCTTTTCTTCTTTTCTCCAACAGTCGCAACTTTCTTACTTACTTTTTTCTTGCTTCCATATGTCTTATATTTAATTACAAAGACAAGGTCTATGCATATATAGATATGGAATATTTAATAAATCTTATATTTGTTTCATTACTCTGCATCAGATAATATCACGATGTCAGCGAATATTACATTTGGAAGAGGGAAAACATTTAATATACATAAAAGCACATTAATTGTGATCACACATCCATTTACTATTCCAAAAACACTTTGGTATCTCTCTGATCGCAACGCATAATACTGATGTGATCTATCATTAGTCAGACAGGAAGTATAATTGTTCCGGATTTTCTGTTTACACTGGACAATTAAGACTTTCATAAGGAACACGCATAGAATTAAATATTTTTAGGCATGTATTCCGAATAACATTTTATCCTGGCACCAACAAGTTTTTCATATATCGTTTAGAATTAACGAAATTTCAGACGCCTTTAATTCTTCATACCGAATATACAATCACAAAAATCCTAATAGATACGCTAAATCATGCGTATCATCGTTTATATTTCACAAGTAGAATTCTCTGGATTGCGTCTCGCATCGTTAATCTTTACACACAATATCATTTCCCATTTTGGATATCGTCCATGCTAATTGCAAATTGGAAATGTAAAACGTCGTAGAGTTCGCAGTCTACAATTATTGTTAAAATTTTGTCGATCTAATCAACAGTTTGGTATCTCTCGATACATTCCGTTGATTGAAAATTTCTTATCGATATGTGTCTAAGTACTTAACACAAGATGTATACATTCTCATTTCTACATTGTTTTTCAATGCAAACTACGAATTTAATTAACTATTAAATTATTTTAAATTATATTGATTATTAAAACTATTAAATATTTATTAAAATTAGTGTCTAAGTTCATACTATTAAATATCTCTTGGCAAACTGAATTTGCGAATACTGATTTGTAAAAGAGTTCTACGAAAAAAATTTATACAGAATAAAATCTCATACAGAAATATTGTAACCATGTCATTGTAGAAATCTTAAAAATTATTTCTTTAATTTAATCAATAAATTATTGGAAAAAATCTGAATAAATGATTTCTATAATCAGCTGATCATTAAAATGCGAAAAGTATACGTACAAACGTATACGCTTCGTACTATACTTAGGGATATTTCCAAGTCGATTTTTCAATTTGTATCTAATAACCAATTTAGTTGTCTTCACTACTCCACATTAATGCACATTATAAAGGCTATTGTATTTGAGATATATGGTGTAACAGCGGAACATTAGCATTTTAACCGATGAAATAACCAACATATAGAAATAATTTCTGCTAAATAACACAATGATATATTGGATATTTTATCGGCCAAAATACATTTACGTTATATTTTTGTACTTACAAAAAAATATATGAAAGTGTCTCATTATTCACCATCATTTCTGAAAATTTTAGATTTCTTTATATGTAGTTGAATTTATTTTTAAATAAGCTTTAATTTCATCTAAACATTTTTTAATTTCCAAAAACGATAATGACGGAGTATTTTCCTATACAGCACAGATTATTCCAATATTGCAATGTTGCATCAAACTTCCGTGTTGCATTGGTTAAGAGATATAACAATTTCTCAGTTTTCATTAAGAGAGATAATATTTTCAAAAAATTTGAATACATTTTCAAAAAAATGCTTTTAAAATTACAAAACTTTTGTTTTGAAACATCTTTTCACATTTACAGCTTCAACAATATACACATAAAAATCAATCTTTTTCAAAGAAATGTTACATTCTTTTAACACGCGTAAGAGTACTTATGAAAGAGTACATATCTCTTATATTTTGATCTACAATATATTATCAGATATTTATGTATATGTTTCTTTATTAGATTTTAAGGTGCCTTTAGTGCGCATCAGTGTGGAATAATCAAGCGACCGAATTCGCTATAAGGCCCATATATTGCATGCATATATGCTTTTTGTAGCCAATAAAACGAATTTTCGCTTTATGCGAAATGCTTCGGATACACTCGTTAAAGCAACATCAATCGGTGTCACTGGACGAGGAGGGACGGATGTCTTGCGATAGTTACTTTAGCTCATAGCTTCTGGTTCATTATTGCAACTATATTGGATTATGACATCAGATGCAAGAGATCGCGCTTATGATATGAAATAACACTATACATCACATTCATAGAAGCGATTATTCTCGCACAATGTACATCAGAATTAATCTTTTTACACACGCTACCATCTGTATTCAATAAAATAAACTTAAATGCCAGATTCTTTTTTCAATTTATGAATAGATAGTAAATCTCAATAATGAGACCTATTTTTGTTAAAATAGGATAATGTTCGTTAACGTAGTATAGATTAAATTACATAATCACTTATTAATTTTCGCCTGACGAATACGCACTTTATCTCTGATGAATGTCAACTCGTCTTTTTCCTGATTGCGTAAAATGCATCTCATAATATCTAAATCCGCAAGGGAAGGATAAAATAAATAACATCTAACTTTTGACTTCAGCAGAGATTAACCTGAATATATCTGGCATTATTAGTGAAAGTTTATGAAGGACTAAATGGGAAGTTTTATACATTTTTTCATTTTTTCGAATAAAACTAGGGCATTTGAAAAAAAAACTAATTTACCATATATCGTTGAGTAGTGCAAGAGAAAGATATATATTTTTTTGTAGATGTCATAACTCAATATAGTTAACAGTAAAGAAGTCTTATACGTATTATTCTCCGAGGTGCGGCAATATAGTGTCAACGAAGCGTCCTCGATAAAGGAATATCGACGAGGAAGAGACTTAGGCACGATAGGTCGTACGTTGTCGGAGTTGCGGTAGGTGTTGGAGAAGTTTCCTTGTCGCTTATTCGACGCTATCTACGACCGCACTGTCGTCCAAAGTGTGAAGCCAATTGAAGATCATCATGTTCCTTTCATACTTGGACAGCTGATTTCCACGTTCTCTCTCAACGTCCCGTATGGTCAACGCGTGATTTCGCTCCTTCCGCCCAATCAAGGAAGCACCAGGAACTCCGGCGGCCGTTCCCGGCACCAGCAAAGTGGTACCATGAGAGCTCTGTGCCGCGGTAGCCGCCGCTTCTAGCTGATCTAGATTAAATTCACTCTGCGAAAGGCGCTCCAAAGCGCGGTACGTGGTCAGTAACCTAATGGAACATGAACGAAACACTCTATTTCTGCATATTTTTTGTATTGAAACCTGAAACGGCGTGACTTAATAACTTTAACGCGTTTACGTTCACTTCAATTACAAGAAAACGTACATAAATGTCTCGTTCTGATTTTAAGAAAATTTAAATGAAAGTTATCCTTTCCAAAGGAGCATTTCTCACTCTAAGAATATTTATAAAAAGATACATGTCCGTTATCTTAATTTATACCATAAAGCACACAAAAAACTCATCAAAATCAGGAAAGGACACTTACATATATTTCCTTCTTAGACAAAGCCAAATATAAATACAAGAATAACAAATATGCAACTTACAATATTTTAGATAAAAGAATTGAAAGAATTAAATTGTCAGAAGACAAGTACAAACGTTTCGTTTTTGTTTTTATTCCAAAAAGTTGTATACAAAAAAAAATTCATGAATTTTGAACCAAGAGAAAAAGGAAGATTTTCTTCATCCAATACCAACCTTCGGCGTATGTAGTTCTGTCGGACTTTCTTATTGACGGACCTCACGAGATCCGCTCCAGTGAAGGGCACAGGTGGTGGCGGCGGTGCCGGTGGTTGTGGTGGTAATTGTGGCACCGATTGAGCGTTTGAAGAAGATTGCTGCTGCTGCGATTGTAGCTGCTGCGACTGCTGCTGCTGTTGTTGAGGCTGCTGTTCTTGCGCAGTTCCGCCATGCGGGCTAGGAAGCTGGGACGTACTGGCCACGGGTTCACCCACGGCAACCCAGGTGCTACAGGACCTCGAGGCATGATCGAGTCTGGCGTGTTCCAGCAGCAGAGTATTGCGCTGGGCAGTGTCGAGAGCTAGAGCGGATACTGCCGTTCGTAGGCCACCGGCTCCAGCTGCGTCCGGGCTAGGAAGCTGCGACACGTCGCTCGTACTAAAACTCTTACGCAATCCCAATGCTGACGACAGAACACCGCAGCTGCGAATTAGTTCGTTCTCTTCCTCAAACCATAAAATCTCTGGAATGTCCGCCGGCCTAACATAAAATGCATAATAAATAAATACTAAGTCAAGAGTGAAACAGTCGCGTATCTCTTCAGCGTGATAGCTATTGTTTTACGAACCTATTGCCCTGAATCTGTCGAGAATCTGGTTTCGGTGAGGGCCCCCGTCCGGTGAGTTGCGCATCGCTGTAGGATTTGAAAGTGACCAACCTGTTGGCGCTGCGCAGGTCGCTTGCGATCGACGACACGCTGAAGAGTGACAGGTCGGTGGTGACGCTCTCATGACTCGGTGAGCGCAGCATCCGCGAGGTGACCTGCAGGGCCGGGCATTGTGCGGTCGACAGACCACTACCTCCACTTCCGCCGCCACCGCCACTGTCACCACCGCCGTCATTGCTACTACAACATTGCGCGCACATGACCGTGGGTATCGGTGAAGCCGATTTTGTTTCGTTTTCGGACATTTTACACTTGTTCACACTTGATGTCCGTTTCTCTATTTATCTCTTTTTTTTTTTTGCCGCACGACGCTTTTTTCGGCCGTTTCAGTTTCTTCCGCGGTAGCTGTAACTGGTTTACGTCATGCCGAATGTCCAACGCTTCTTCTTCGTTTCCAGAGTAACAACTGTATGTAATACACAGAAAAGATAGCTTAGCGATACGGCACAATTAGAATAAGAAAAACTTAATTTTTAAATAGAAATCTTCTGGAGAAGCATTTAAATATAAAGCTTCCGTTTTATTATGGTAGCCGACTTTTTGACTTATTTGTTCTTATTCAGAAATTATTAATTATTAATATACCCTTAAAGTCTGTAACCTTTTTGAGAACATCCTGCATATACGAAGGTTTCTATTTTAAAAATATTTATTAATTCACGCGCGGATTAAAAATAAAATTATTGGTACGTATTGCAAGTTTATTCCATCAATTAGATCTGACACGTGCAATATATAAAACTTAGCTATGTGTTATAAATATAAATTACAACTTCTCGCTTCCACGTCATAATTTAATATGCAGTGACCAAACAAAAGTTTAAAAATATTTAGTTTTTGTAGAACATCAGTATACTATTATTGTAACTTTATTTTATGAAATATGTAGTATAAAAGCAAATTTATTTATAGTCTGAAAAGATAATTATGGTGAGACTAGAATGTTAATAGACATTATAGATCACATATGATATCACATATTGCGGATTAGTATGAAGATGGAGAAACTATTATCTAATCGCAAGTCCTTGATCCAATCTACAGAGATGGAATGTGCAGGTAAGGTGCTAAACGCTTTGCACGCCGTCACCACGTGGGCGTGGTGAAGTATAGTCTGTCTTGTGATGTATACGCCTATGATGTATGATATGCGAGAAAGCGAAAGCACATTTTATACCGATACAAAATATTACTAATCCGGTTAGACACTAATTAGCAGTAACATTACATTGATTACATCATATTATAATTTTATCAATATTATAATTTTCCACTCAACAATATATATGTAATATAATATACGTTGAACGTAATAGTTATATTGTCGAGTATAAAAATTATAACATTGCGTTATGTTACTGTTAATTATTGTTTACTAATAAGTAACTCTTTTCGAAATCAAAATATTATTTAATAAAAGTATCAATATATTGAAATCTTTCAATATTAAAATTTTAATTTTTTAAAACAAAATATGAAACGTAGACATTTTCAGACGCTTTGAACAAACGATTACTCCAAACACTTTGTTTTCTACAAAGTATATTTTTAACGCGCAGGCGATTAAAATAAACTTATTACATTATTATTATTAAAATCAAACAGACTCTTCGTGAAATGATTTTCAAATTGTAATTATTAAGATATCTAATATTGAGAAAGTGCAATAAATAATAACTTTCGTTCGAAATTTTTTTAAAGGACAATTAACATATTTTTTTAACTTTTTAAAGAACCTGTTTTAAAATTAATGTTTTATGTAACACATTAAGAAAGTTCTAAAAATTTCTAACATTTAATTCGATGATAAATACATATATAAAATATGAAATTTAATATCATATTATTCTTCCCCTCTTTCCTATCTCTTTTCTCTCCCACTCTTTCTGCCTCTATCTATTTCTATCTCTATCTCAGAATCGATTAACTATAACCTGAGTTAACTTTTTATTCTCCTTTCTATATTGCAGAAAAAAAGCAATTTCTAAGCCGAAGTCAGCTAAAAGTGAAGTATCGTTACAAATGATATATGGACATCAACATAGCTACGTAATCGATAATTATATATTATATTCTGAAGTCAAGGTTCAAGAACTTTTCTTAAGATTGATATTTCGATATATGCCTTCATCAGCCAGATATTGACTTTCTCGGCCATTTAGTGTGTCATACGTGTCATCCAGCGCAAATCGAATAAATTAAAGCCATATGTTTTTTAATTATCAAATCTCTCTCTAACATCAACTTTGACAAAGGATACTTAATAGAAAGTTGGCAGCCATATTGATATATGTATTAAAAATCTAAAAGAATATTATATAAAAAAAGAATAATATATAAGAAAATGTTTTTCTTAACAGTGTATGGCAAAGCTAGAAGATTGAAAACATTTTGATGCTTTTTGCAAATAAAATGTTATATTTCTAATAAATATAAAAATCGTAAGAAACTTTTCATTTTAAATTATTTAAATTATTACTGTTTAAATTACTATTTAAATTATTCCAGTTCAAATATACTTTCCATTAAATGTGAACAATATTAAAAATGAAATTTATATTCTTTCAATTTTTTAAATTTAACATTACAATTTAATTATTTTACGTTTTTTTTTTTAAACTTCTGGTTCCATTTAAAAATTAATCCCTTTATTGTACTGTTTCTCTGCAAACTTATCCTCATTAATAAAAAATATGCGAGTAACTATGTTCTACTTGACTTGCCTCCGCAGGTTTCCTGTAGACTAGACATAGTCATAAACTAAACTGTTATATTAGCGCGACTATACACGTCACGAGCTGCGCTAATTAAATGGGACTACAGACAATATGTGCGTTCAGTCAGTTTATATCAACTGCGCTAGAATCGCGCTTTCTTTTCGGAGTTGATTTTCATCGTGATTATTAAAGCGTCACTGTAAACTCATCGTCAGCGATGGCAGGCTCCGATAACAAAAGTGAAGGACCGGCGCAGTTCTATAAATACGCACGAATATATTCACGACTCTCAGCGCGCACCTAATGTATCTCGCACTGTCAGCCACATGACGACGCGTTTCGTCGTGTCGAGGAACGCCGCCGTCGTGAACGGTGAATCTGTCAAGCCGGCTGCGTGGCTCCAACGGAGTTCCACTCAAAGGAGAAGACCCTCGGCCAGGAACGCGAGAGAGATACGGCGAGCCGCGGAATCGCCGGCGGGAGTACGTGAAAGGGAACAACAACCACTGTCCACACTCGCCGTTCTCACACGCGTCGAGCGCGTCGAGCTACGTCAAAGAGATGACACGATTGTTTCCCCTGGGCTCTACGGTTGTCGATCGTGGCTCGGGCTCGCTCACTGCACAGGCGTCGCTATTCACATATCGATCGATAGCTGTGCTCTCCTCTAGTTTCGCCGCACCCCACGCGATTCGGACCTCTCTCGCTACTACCGAGCTAACGGCCGATCCACATCCCTTCTTCATCCCTTATTGCAGCGTGGGATGTGGACCAGTGGATTGGGCCTAGGGACCCTGGGCCACTTGATGGCGATTTTGTTACGAGCATTCCCTAATTTATAAAGGAAATATCCCTTCATCTCCTTCAAATATACGTTATAATTAAATATCATTAATTAAATATGTGTAAACATATATATACAATAATTATTTAGACTATCAGCAGTATTAAATGATTTAAAAAAAAAAAAACAAATATATTTCGTAGAAAAAATATTGTTCATAATGGACAAGTCAATTTAATGTTTGATTGAATGAGAGGTTGATTGGAAAAACGATGACCCAAGCTTTCACTCTCCATGCTGGAACGTTCACAATACATAATAAGCTTCAACATCATCATGTAGACTAGACATATATATTTAGACATGTATATTTAGACTATTTATTAGATATTTCGATTAACTTATATTAAAATACGAAAATATCTCCCTTTTTGATCGAGGAACTTTGTCGAGAATGAGCGTCACTAAAGTTCGTGCAGATGAAAGCGGACGTGGACGGCCAGTTGGTCAAACTTAGAGTGAGTGGGCGATACACGCGGCGAGGAGACAGGAGAGATGAAAGCTAAATAGAGCCAAAGAGACGAGATGACGCGATTAGCACATATAGCGACCGCAAGCCGTAGTGTAGTTTAGGGTCTCAGCCTCTCTTAGTTGGCGACGGTGTCTCTCGCGAGGAGGATTCGCCGCTGTGCCGAATCCAACAATATACTCGGCAAATCCGATTGGTCGGCTAAGATACTCTTACGTCCTCAAGAAAAACGGTAAGTTCATTTTTGTCGTGATTCTTGTTTACTAGCGGCTTTTAGCTTGTCGTGACTATAAAATAGAATGGGGCGTTTCCAATTTCATCAAATAACAAATAATTAAAAAAGTGTTACGTGAGATTCAAAACTGCAATTTACTTCAATTACATAAAATTCCGTCTCTATTATCGTTGCTTTTGAAACGTTTAAAGGTTTAATTACAGAATTCATCTAATTAGAGCAATTGAAAGAAAAAAACACTCTTGACTCCGCGTCCTCTCTATAAAGTAAAGGTATTTAAGATAATAGCATTAATGCACAGCTCATACTAAAGTATTGGAAATAATATCTAATATACTCATCATAAAAGGATATATTGTTCCGCTTTGAACAATCCCATTTGCAGCCTTTCAATGGAAGTATTATTTCCATTAATTATTTAAAACCTAACAAAGTTTCCAAAGTGGAAATTTTTAATATTAACGATTACTATTATTCTGACTGTGATAATAAAATAATTCAACTTGATCTTTTAATTTTAAATTACATTTTCGAGGTTTCAAGATTTACGAGATGAGAATACCAATGATAAAAGGCATTTTCTTAATTGCAATTTGATATTTTGCATATAAAATGATTTATATTATTAAAGTACGATTATTTTTAAATTTGTGTTCATAAAATGTTCTTAAGAATGGAAATGACGTTCTTTCTTGTAGTTCTTTAATTAAATGCGTTTACATTAGAAGATCTCAGATATATATACATATATATGTATTATATATAAACGTTTGAATACAAGTTTATAAATATCTACGCTTTTTTTTACTAGAGACGATGGCAAGCTCCTCAGAGGGAGACACCGTCAAGCCGACGAACACGAACAAATCAACGACTGGAATCAACATTCTCACACCCAAGGAGGGTGCGAGAAAACGACGACGCTTGGAATCTCTGACAACGAATTCGGAGATCCCTGAGAAAACGCAGCGACGCGACGAGTCGTGCAACTTCTATGCGTAAGAATATTTACAATGCAGAATTTCACATATAATACATATCTACTATTAATTATCAGTGTATTAAAAAATGCATCAACGACATGTAATTAAAAAAATATTTATTAAAATAAAAAAAATTTTAATTATATATACAAAAAAGAAAAAAAAATATCATGCAAGTATTTTCAGAATTTTTAACGCTTTAGTGAAGTAAAAATATTCTTTGAATCAAAGAAAATGTTTAAAAGAAATAATTTAAACTGTAAAAATTTAGAAGAGATAAATTATAGCTACTATAATAAATATAGAAATATGTACGTAACAAATTTAAGGTTTCTTTTTATAAACTTAAAAGTACTCTCATAAATATTGAAGCGAAAAATATCTGCAATTACTATAATTATTTCTATAATCGTGTTTTGTATTTAACTGGACTTTTAGGATTCGCATCCAAAAAATATAAGTTCAGTCAATCAGAGAATATGATTTGAAATTAATTACATATTCTAACACACGATGCAATCTCTTACATTCTCACCCTCAGCGAAGCAACCAGCGAAAGAAGGGCTCAGCACATAGAAGACAAAAAAGACTCGTCACAGCCACGCCTGAGAAAAAAGGATCAAACTGTTCCAATAAATTCACAAGATGTTCGAATGTCACAATCTTGCGAAACAGGCGTGAGAAAAAATGATGCGACTAGATTAAGGAAAACGATACAATGGCTTGAGGAAGGTGGGCGAAGATTACGCGAGGACCTGGCGAACGTGCGAACCGAACTACATGAAGAGCGAAGGGCGGCAAAAATTGCCAAGAGAGAGTTTGAAACTGCTCTCAGAGAAGCCAGATTTGCTGAGGCTGCCAAGTATCAATCAATCATAGCCGAATTAAAAACCAGGTAAAGTATAGGTATTCTTACCCGAAGCTTATATGTTCCTCAATCTTTTTTATTTCTCTCATAACAATTTCGATTCTCAAGTCTAAAAATTCATAGTAGTCTGAAAATTCATTTGTAATTTTTGAATTTGAATTTGAAGACTGTCAAATAATTGGTGTTATTAAAAAAAGTATCGAAGGTAATATTTTCTGTCAGGATCGTTCAATCTGCGTCGCCATCGCCGTCACCGTCGCCGCCATTCAAATCGGATCCCGTGAAAGACGAGAGTCACAAGCGTGAATTATCAACCCTCAGAAAACGCCTAATTGAAGCTGAGGGCACGATACGAAGACTCGAACAATTGGTGAAATCACAAGCGAGCACTACTCGCAGTACCAATAATACTTTTTCCTACGGTGATGCGCGCCGTCTGGAAGCGGAAATACGAAATTTACGCGCAGAAAACGAGAAACTCGAAGAGAAATTGCGCGTAAGAGCTAATCCTTTAATCTTTTAAATTTGTAGAGTTTAAACTTTAGAGGGACTTTGAAACTTAAATTTATAAGTGATCAACTTTAATGCTAAATATTGATTATTTTAATAATTACAATTACATTATATATATATAACACATGGATCAATAAGTCCCGAGACTAACAATGAAAACATTTTTTTTGCAAAATTTTTTTTTATTCATCAACATAATCACCTTTTAGGGTGATACATTTCAATACCATGTTTATAAAAAAATTTATCTTTCGCTTCAAAATAAGTTTCAGTTTCAGCGATGACCTCCTTATTTGAGCCAAATCTTTTTCCCTGGAGCATTTTTTTAAGATCAGCAAAGAGCCAGTAGTCACTGGGGGCTAAATCTGGCGAGTATGGGGGGTGGGGAAGCAGATCAAAGCCCAATTCGTTCAATTTTGCCATTGTTTTCATCGACTTGTGGCAGGGTGCATTGTCTTGGTGAAAAAGGATTTTTTAAACAAACTACAAAACGACTTTACTCTAACCTCGATAACTCAGCTGTTTCTAGTCCGATCGACTTAAAATTTTGACACGTTTCAAGCAAAGGTTAGTACTCTAGAAAGACGTGGTTACTGGTTTACT